AGCTGCACATGTGCCAACCCCTCATCACAGAATCATAGAGTTGTTGAGCTGGAAGGGACCTTGAGGGTCATCTAGTACAGGCATGTCCAACTTCCAAGAGACACTGTGATCTCTGAAAAAACTGGCAGTGATCTACCCATTGAATTGACAAACATTGTTGAGCTTTTTTTAGGAAGCCTAAGTTGTTGATGAGGGACGCGGGTGGTGCTGTGGGTTAAACCACAGAGCCTAGGACTTGCTGATCAGAAGGTTGGCGGTTTGAATCCCCGCGACGGGGTGAGCTCCCGTTGCTCGGTCCCCGCTCCTGCCAACCTAGCAGTTCGAAAGCACATCAAGTGCAAGTAGATAAATAGGTACCACTCTGGAGGGAAGGTAAACGGCGTTTCTGTGCGCTGCTCTGGTTCGACAGAAGCGGCTTAGTCTTGCTGGCCACATGACCTGGAAACTGTACGCCGGCTCCCTCGGCCAATAAAGCGAGATGAGCGCCGCAACCCCAGAGTCGGCCATGACTGGACCTAATGGTCAGGGGTCCCTTTACCTTTAAGTTGTTGATCTACCACGGACCCCCCACAATCAACCAGTTGGTCACTGTTGGACATCCCTGATCTAGTACAACCCCCTGCAATGGAAGAGAGTCCACAACCTCCCAAGAGAGCCAAAGAACCTGCCCGCCTGACCCTTTAGGGGGCTGAGAAGGCTCAGGCCGGTTTCCCAGTGCCCTCCTTCTTACTTTGGGACTTGCAGGCTGGACCACTTTAAGAGGAGCCCCAGGTGGCCCTGAGGAGAGGAGGGCTTGTTCTTTCCATCAACTGCCCTCGGTTCCAGGTCTCTCTGCTGCTGGCTGCTTGGTCCCTAGAGCCAGAGTCCCTCCACCTCACCCCCAAGGCCAGAAGTAGTCAGTTTCAGGCTCGGCAGGGGAGACGAGCCTGCTGGTTGGCCACCTGGAGGCCGAACGCAGCAGCCCCCATCACCCCCACTCATTCCCCTCAGAGCCCTTGGGGCAGGGGGACCAGGCTTGATAGCCCCTTAGTGCTCCCCCCCCAAAAAAGAGTGCCCTTTGAAGTGACTGCGTCAGCCCCCTTCTTTGCAATGGCTTTTTCAGTCCTCACCTGGTTTTAAACAACAGCATTTTACTTGGGGGGGGGATGAGTAAGGAGGATTGCGGGAAGATGACAGATATTTTATAAAATTATGCATAGTGCGGAGAAAGCAGGCCCAGGGGGGGGTCATGCAGGGAAGCTGGACCTCTGGAAGATGCAGGACAGACAAAAGGAAGCCCTCCTTTTCTCATCATTGCATACTTGGACTATGGAATTTGCCGCCACAGGATGTGGTCAGTGGCCACAAACTGAGCTTCAAACGGGGGGTTAGGAAAAGACACATAGAATAAGGCTGCCTGCGGAGACTACTTGTCATGGCTATATTAGCTCCCTCAGGAAAGACGCTGCACACCCGTTGCCTGGGATCTTGAGCAGCAGGAGGAAAGCTCTTGTGCTCTTGCCTTGCCCTGGTTATTGCCAGGGGCGTCTTCTAGGCACAGAAGGGCCTTCTGACATTCGTATGGCCCTTAAACGTAAGAAGAGGCAGCTGGATCAGGCCAGTGGCCCATCTAGTCCAGTATCCTGCTCTCACGGTGGCCAACCAGATGCCCATTGTGGGAAACCAGCAAGGAGGACCCAAGCACAAGGGCAACGCTTTCCCCTCCTCTGGTTTCTAGCAACTGGTGTTCAGAAGCATTAAGGCCTCTGACTGTGGAGGCAGAGAATAGCCAGCATGGCTAGGAGCCATCAATAGCCCTCTCCTCCTCCATGAATTTGTCTCATCCCCTTATAAAAGCCGTCCAAGTTGGTGACCATTTCTGCCTCTGACTGTGGGTGAAAGGAGGAATGGTCAGCGATGAAGGGAGCTGTAGCCCAGAACATCTAGAGGGCACCAGTTTTGGGAAGGCTGGCCTAGCTAGGAGCAATGTCACATGAAGAAGAAGAGGAGGAGGAGGAGGAGTTTGGATTTGATATCCCGCTTTATCACTACCCGAAGGAGTCTCAAAGTGGCTAACAATCTCCTTTTCCCTTCCTCCCCCACAACAAACACTCTGTGAGGTGAGTGAGGCTGAGAGACTTCAGAGAAGTGTCTCTGGCCCAAGGTCACCCAGCAGCTGCATGTGGAGGAACGGGGAATCGAACCCGGTTCACCAGATTACGAGTCCACCGCTCTGAACCACTACACCACACTGGCTCACACTGGCTCATGTGACATCCCTCTCCAGCTATGATTCCTACCTTGCAGGGGTTTGGTCTAGTTAACCCTTGGGGTCCCTTGCCACTCTGCAGTTCTGTGATGCTGTGCTGCCACTTCAGTGATGAGAAGAGGAGTCACATTCCTGTGATTCCTGTGCAGGAGAATTTCCCCCATTTTATTTCATCTCTAAATTAATTTTTCGCGCAGTTAAAGCTTTGCAGTCTGAAATCTGAACCTTTCCTCATAGAACAGATGGGCTGGTGTGTGTTTTTAAGCAGAAGTATGCACAAGCCCTGTGTTCTCCTACAGTTTCTAGTGCAACTGGAAGGAATGAAATGAACACAGATAAGATACGACATGAGGAGCGAAACACAAGGAGATCAGCCAAACGTAGTAATCGCACTAAATCTTAGGTCGAGAAGAGAACAGAAAGATCAGTAACTGAAAGCAGAGATTGGCAGGCACAGAGCAAGAACAAGTCAGAAGACAGCGAAGGAAGGCACTGAAAGATGGTTATGTGTTTTCATGTGTCATTAAAATGAAAAGGCCGGGGTGAGCTAGTCAGAAGGGCTGGAAGATCTCTGAGTGCTTTAAGAATGCCGAAAGTGTGTTGCTAACTGTAGCTGTGATGGAAAAGGTGGCTGTGATTGCACCAACAGTCTGATAGGTGGTCATCACCTATGCTGTTGGACGTGTGTAAAAGAAGATGCCAGAAAGCATCAAAATGTAGCCTTTGTCTCTCTCTCTCTCTCATGTTTTTAGGAGGCTGACCCTACGTACGTTTGTATGCAATAAAGACCTCTCTTGTCACTTGGACCCTGCCTCCTTTTCCTTTGGGTTTCTCTGAGGGATACCTCCAGATTAGGAACACCTTTTAAAGTTCTCCAAGCCCTGGAGTAGATGACTCTTTGGGTCCCTTCCGAAGCTAAAATTTTGTGGTTCTATGACTCCCATAGCACTGAGCCAGGACAGGGAAAGTAGAGGATGCACGAAAGCAAGACGTGGGCTTGCGACCTTCTTGAAGTTCCCCCTCTCTCACCAATAAATAGGGTGTGGTGACTCCTCTTTCTGACAGAAGTCTTGGGTCAGCTGCCATCTGGAGGTCTGGTTTGGCCCATCGGCCGCCAGTTCCCTACCACAGATATGTTTGTCATTCTGATTCTGTTACAGCACAGCATGTGGGATCAAGCAGTAGAATTCAGGTTCTCCAATTTGTTTCTTTGGTTCAGAGCAGGTTTTTAGCCCTTCTGCCTGCAAAGTTTCCTCATATTTATGTGCAGAAAACTCTGTTTGAGTTTGTTATTTTTCAGTTCAGGGTGCAAATGTACTCCTGAAAATGCAACACACAGGCTCCCCACTTTTCCAAACATGAGCAAGTTCTGGCGGCACCTTTTTTCATGCTTCTCCACCCCTGAAAGCATCTCTCCAGGCCTCAAGTTTATGTATTTTGGAGATAACAGATCACATTCCACACCTCCTGCCAGGCAAAGGAAATACCTCTTGCGAATGGCTTCTGAAGCCTCTAATGCTTTAAGGCATTAGAAGTTAGTTTTGCCTCCTGCAAGGCTGAATTGATGAGCACAGCTCTAAGCCAGTAGGGACACCTGATCCGAATGAGAAACAGCAGGGTTGCATGTTAGACGTCCTGCCCTTAATAACACACACACATGTGCTGCATAACATGGGATGGTTACATACCTGCTCCTGTAGTTCACAGCCCTGTCATGCAGCCAGACCTTTGGGAGGAGGACAAAGGGAACATCTGGTGAAGAGAGTGAGAGGTCTTTGAAGACTTTCCCTATATCCCATTCTCCTATGTGCCATGTGGATGTTGCACAACACACTGTTTAAAAGCATAAAGAGGTCCACATCCATTGAAAGAACGTGGGGAGCCTTGAAGGCTATCCCCCCATTGCTCCATGGCCACACTGTCTGTCCATGCAGCCAAAGTGCATATCTTGGAAGGGGCTCAAATTCTTCTTTGTGGGGAGGGATTCTGCACACAATATGTGGGCAGTGAGAGGGTGGGCGGGCACCTGGGTCATCAGCAGGAGTGATACAGACCCCCACAGCCGCCTCCCACCTCATGCAACCACGTTCAGTAGGTGGGCTGGTCTGATTCCTCCCGTTGTCAGAACGAGATGGAGCGATCTCAGGGTTGTGCTACAGACAAAGGCGCCTTTTTAACCCCATTAACTGAAGCTTTAATGGGGCATACTGGGTGGGTGCTGTTTTATTTGGAGGGTAGGGTTGTTTTAAATTGTTGTTAAATGTTATATGTTAATTTGGATTTTTGTATTTGTGGTCTGGAGTGTTGTTTATGGGCTTTGGGGGGAGTGTATTGTTTATTAGTTTGTATACGTTAGTATTGTTAATTGAGAGCCAGTGTGGTGTAGTGGTTAAGAGCAGTGGACTCGTAATCTGGTGAACTGGGTTCGATTCCCTGCTCCTCCACATGCAGCTGCTGGGTGACCTTGGGCTAGTCACACTTCTCTGAAGTCTCTCAGCCCCACTCACCTCACAGAGTGTTTGTTGTGGGGGAGAAGGGAAAGGAGAATGTTAGCTGCTTTGAGACTCCCTAGGGTAGTGATAAAGCGGGATATCAAATCCAAACTCCTCCTCCTCCTCCTCTTCTTCTTGTTTCAATTATTTCAATTATGTTTTTATTATTTTTGTTACGTATTTTGTGTTTTGTATATTGTAACTTTAAATTATCATCGATGTTGCCATCATCTTCTTTGCTTGTTTTATTTATTTTTCAGGAAGAAGACGACGATGGGCTTCCCAAGAAAAAGTGGCCAACCGTAGACGCCTCCTATTATGGTGGACGTGGCGTTGGTGGAATTAAGCGGATGGAGGTAGGTGAACACCAAGTTGGAAGATTTCAGACAGATAAGAGGAGAACTCTTTCACGCAGCCCATAGTTAAACTGTGGAACTCACTGCCACAGGAGGCAGTGATGTCCACCAAAGTGGATGGCTTTGAAAGAGGACTGGGCCAATTCACGGAGGAGGATGGGTTTGGCTATTCTGAGAACAGGGTGCTGGACTAGATGCTTAGGCAAGAGACGTGTGCTCTGGAGGGATTGCTGCTGTTGCAAAAAATGATGGGCTCTCCATACTGTTTCCCCACCCACATTCCCTTCACCCTGATGCTGACATTTGCCCCCAAACTGCTGTTTGCTGCAAAAAATGCTGTTTTGGCAGGAAAATAGCACGGGGTGTTGAAGGGTTAAATCCAGATTTGGGACCACAGCACAGAGAGATGGGATGTGTGTGTTTTCACCCTCCGCTGTGGTTGAGAATTTCCCCCCACTGTCTATCAACATTATGAAGCAAATTTAAGGTCCCCAAAGCCATGTTTGTCTCGTGACACTAATGTAGGAGTGGGGGGACGGGGGACGGCGAGCATCATGAACAGAGGCAAATCAAGGGGGGGGGGATACTTTTCCTCTGTTTCTGAGGCATCACTGCAGGTGGCCTGAAACCCTCTTCCTCTACAAATGGACTGAAGGAACCAGAGAATAATAATAATAATTTTTATTTATACCCCGCCCTCCCCAGCCAAGACCAGGCTCAGGGCGGCTAACATCCAATAATAAAAACAAGTTGATTAAAATACAATTTAAAAAACAAGAATTAAAATACAACATATTAAAACATTAAGATGCAGCCTCTTCACAGGAGGAGAAAGGAAAAAGGAAAGAGGGGAGGGAGGAGGGGGATCAAGCTGATTCCAAGCCAAAGGCCAGGCGCAACAACTCTGTCTTACAGGCCCTGAGGAAAGAAATCAGATCCTGCAGGGCCCTGGTCTCATGAGGCAGAGCGTTCCACCAGGCCAGAGCCAGTGTTGAAAAGGCCCTGCCTCTGGTTGAGGCTAATCTGACTTCCTTAGGGCCCAGGACCTCTAAGGTCTCTATTTACAGACCTTGAGGCTCTCCGTGGGGCAGACCGGGAGAGGCGGTCCCGTAGGTACGAGGGTCCTAGTCCGTGAGAAACAGCTTGAGCCCCAAGCGAATAGCCATGTTTTATCTGTGATTGCTGGGCCGCAAGGGGCTCTGCAGTCCGATGCTTCTGTGATTCTGTGAAGGGGACTAAACGCTCAGAGTTTCTTTGTGGGTGTTTTTAGGTTCGCTGGGGGGAAAGGGGATCCACTGAGGAAGGTGCGAAGCTGGAGAAGGCCAAGAATGCTCGGGTCAAGATGCCAGAGCAAGAATACGAATTCCCAGAGCCCAGGAATCTTGGGAACAATATGCGGAGGTCCTCTTCCCCCCACAAGTGGTACTCTCCAATTAAGGTACCTCTCTTACGTGATATTTTCATTGCAACCCCTGAAACATCTTTCCCCACCTTCTAGCTGGTTGGAAAAAAAGTGCTGGTGTACAATAATGTAATAAAAACATCTTAAAATCCTGAACAAACAGCCAATGAATGAATCTGATATATAGGCCATAAACCATCTCTGCAGAACACGCTCTGCCCCCCGACCCCGTGCTTGTGTGGTCCCAGCTAATACCCCCCCTTCTCCCTCTTGTGACCAAATTCAAGCTGCTGCAACTGCTCATTCTCTGCCCCTACGACCAGCTGAAGGATGGACCTTCAAAAAATCCGGAACGTGATTCCCAAGAATTAAGGAGCATTAAGCACCTAATCACTCATTGACTGACATACGTTAAGTCCGTTCACACTCATCTGGACAACCCAAACTTATAACAAATGGATCAAAGCCGCCTTCAAATATTCCTCCTCTGTAGATGTGCCAAAAAATTTCTGGCACGCTCAGCAGACTCTGTCCATTAGTGTGCATATGAGGAGATGGCTGAGTAAAATTCCAGCGTAGCTTATTCTGCATCTGCCCTGGTCTGTTCACTCCAGAAATGAGAACTTTCATGCCCTGCTGTGGAAGAAGTTATGTTCGCTGTTGGAGTGGATCGCCTGCTCCTTTTGAGGGAGAGGGAAGTTCATGGGGGTCCCGGGAAGGAGGAAGCAAGGTGCACAGATGTGTCTGGATTGTCTCCTGGATTCTGTTCTCTTGCAAAACAGATTTGTATGTTGTGTCACCACCCAGTTAAAAAGTGCCAGGGTTACAGAAGCAACAAAGCACTCCAGACCCCTAGCCTTTCCTTCCACCATTGTTTACTAAGGGCTCTTCCACTCTTCCTTTTGCACCATGGTTCCCAAGCACAGATCTGTGCTTTAAAGCTCTGTGTCCGAGCAATTTTTACTCGTTTGTTTGTTTTCTCCTGGTACTTTCCCTGGGAAAACCCATGTTTTACTGCTAAATTGGAGCAAACAGCAATCTACTTAAAACCCAATTGGCCTTTGCTCTAATTCAGTGGTGAAACACAGGTTTTCCTAGAGAAAGTGCTGGGACAGAATAAAAGCCCTCCGACATGGAAGTTTAAAGCCCGGACCTGTGCCTAGAAATGCGACGCAAAAGGAAGTCTGGATGAGGTGGGTTTTATCATTCTGCAAGCATCTGCATTTTGGCCTGAAATCGATAAGCTTGTTGAAGTGTTTCTTCTGTCGATGAAATTACATTGCTGCTTAGACCCTGTTGCAATCAGAGTTGTGCTAAAAGATTCCAAAATTCTGTGCCAAGGAAAGCTGGATTCTGTGGCCTGTGTGAATTATGCAAACTGAGCATATCTGCATGATTTCCTTACTTCGCATAATTTGTTCTGCTTCTGCCAGTCATGGGAAAGACCCGCCCCTCAACCACTGGAAATCCTCCCACCATTCAGGTTTCTAAGACACAAGCACAACTTTGTGAGTATAATGGCTAGAAACCTGCATTTTCAAAAGAAAAGTGGGGTTTTCCTGAGCGTGACTCCTCTTCCCAGCTGCACATTTTTCTTTGGAGACAGACAGGCACACAGACAGCAAGAGAAAGAAAAAATATGTAGCTATGTCAAAGTGAAATGTAGCTCTGCTTCCTTTGCAGGCTTTTAGAAGATGACAACCACTCTGCTAAATGGCTGCTTAAGCAATCTTTGTTTCGTTTTCAGGGAAAGCTGGATGCCCTCTGGGTTTTGCTGCGGAAAGGTTACGACCGAGTGTCTGTGATGCGACCACAACCAGGAGACAAGGTATTGTTGCCCTTTTCTAATAACTTGCTCTGAGCAAAAGCCTGGTGCCCTCCAGATGTTTTGTATGACCAACTCCCATCACCCCCCACTGGCCGATCCAGAACATCTGCTGAAGTCTGCTCTGGAGGGTGAGCTTGGGAAGACATGCCTGCGTCCTCATTGCCATTGGTCAGAGCCACACTATCCTGTGGCTAATGCCAAATAGACAGTAGAGGGAGGGGGAAATTCATGAGCAACAAAGAGGGGAAGGTGTAGCACCCGGAGTTCATATTGAAAAGGGAAGGGGCAAGAGGAACTACGGAGGCTCCTTTCCACACGAGGGAAGTTCTAGAATCTCCACCCTTTGTTCACTCACTTATCATAGGCTATCTGCATGACATTATCATCAAATAATACCACCCCCTTCACTTTCCCTTTCCTTCCATGCAGGGCTCTGCCTCTTGACTTCAGCACACTTCCAACTGGTGCCATTTAGGAAATCAGTTTTAATATTTGTACTAAAGTTTTGGGTTTTTTGGCTTATGCATTTTCAAAAACATATTAGTGCAATTGTGCTTAAACATAGCGCAAGCTAAACAACTTATTCTTCAAATGAACTTGCTACTTAAATGCCCCCACACCAATGCCTGCAAGTGTGGAAGGTTGATGCAGACACAGCAACACGCTAAACCTTCCATTGGAGCGGGTTGGAATAGATTGCCCTTTCATTCCGTTCCAGCTCTACAATTCTATGATTCTAAATGTGGAAAAGGAGCAGAAGTACAATGTCTGATTGCGTGGCCAGTCCCCTCCCCCCAAGTGAAATGAAGACACTGGACACATTATTTAAGGTTAATGGGCATAAAAAGGCCACAACTTTATTGATTACAGGAATTGGAAGGTATTGGCTTTAGGCATTGGCTCCTATCGACTACCCAGCATGGGGACCGGGAAGGGTTATCCACCAGCCATGGGAGTCCTGTTGAAGTACGCCAACTAGGATCCCACGGGTGTCACCGCTCGGGGGTGTGCCGGAGGCCCTCACCTCCCTAGGTTTCGGACAGGGCAACGCCCCCCAGAGTCCTCTACCGGACTACCCTTTTCATTGGGGGAAGGTGATGGCGCTTCCTTCCCCCCCTTCATTTGCATAACAATTAACCCCTGCCAATGCCTAACCGCCAATACCGAAGAAGTTGTGATGTTTGCTACAAGGTAGGCGAAAAAACCAAAGGCTGGAAGTGCGCCAAGTTGGAAAAAAATCCTACCAGGCCCCTTGCGGCGACCAAGCAAGGTCAAAGCTAGCTAAGTCTAAAGGGTGGGTGGGATGGGAAAATCAGGCAGCTGGAACGGTGCAAAGAGGGCGGTCTCCGGGCGCACTGGCCTTAAATGGGCTAGGCCACGCCTCCCCTGCCCGCCGATTGGCGGGCCGGGTCGCAGACACGCCCGGGGATTCCCTCTTCTCGCAGGGGCTAAAACCAGCCCCCGCGTGTGTGGGAGGGGGTGGCCCACAACCCCCCCTCCTCTCAAGCTCAGAAGTGGCTTTAGCAACTGAAAGCCTGCTCTCTCAGTCTACAGTGGAAATGTGCAACTGTGAATTAGATTCGAAATGTTTCAAGCAGTTTTCTCTTTGTTGAGATCCTGGTTTCCCCAAACTGCTGCTTAGAAGGTTTGCTAAGCAGCTGGAGAACTTGATGGAGGGGTTGCAAACAGGACCTCTCCAGCTGCAGCCCGGGGTTCGTGAGACCAGAAATCTCCCACTGCATTCTTGGGCGGCTGCTGGCTTGTCTGAGCTTCCCTATGGGAAGTTTCTTGTTTCTTTAAATTCAGTTACGTGGAGCTGGTTACAGTCCCTGTGCAGCAATGATGTAACTTGAAGGGTGATGTCATGGACACAAGCAAAGGTTAAAACAACGCCGTAACCGTAGTAGAAGCAGAACCAAAAGCAGGTGGCATTTCTTAGCCAGCCCATCTTCTATAAAGTAGAATAGAAGTTGTTCTTCTCTCCTGGCCCTGTGGCTGCAGATATAGTTGTCTAAGAGCACTGACAGTGACCTGATAATGATGCACATTTGTCTGTTGTCCAGCTCTTGCCTCTAGCCAAATGGGTTTTATGGCCTTTTAAAGGGGGGGGGTGCCTCCATCAGCTCTCTGGGAGAAAAAGCTGTCTTCGACTCCTCCAGCCACCCCACCCCACCCCAGTTGTCCCCACCCACCTCCATTCCCTCCACCACACTTCTTACTCTTAGACATATGAGTCTGGTTTTCAGATCTCTCAAAAACCATGAAATCTCATCCCAGTTCATAAAAGGCTTCCTCGCTGGCAGTGGATGCAGGATGGAAGGGAAACCCAGTCCGCCTCTTGCGGCAGGGTGGAAACATCCACACATCTGCCCCCAGCTCCCCTGCTGTCTCCCAGAGACCTAGACACAAATATTCCCAAGTCTGCATTCATCATATTTTCTGAAGGACCCTTTGGAGAATTATAAAGAAAACAACCCCCCCCCACACACACACAGCTGAGAAACCTTCAAAAGGAAACCTGTGAGAGCTTCAAAAGTGCCACAAAAATGCTCTCCCCCCTTTTGACCAAGTGACGCATTTGCTTTGCAAGCAGTGACATGAAATTTCCATGGATGTAAACATAACATAAAGCAAGCGTCCCTCGGGCAGGAAGGAGGCATTAGGCGGTCTGGAGATCGGTTGCTTGGAAAGCACAGATCATATTTCTCCTTTGGGGGAAAAAATTAATAATAATTCTGCAGTTGCCAATAAATTCCCCTTTAGGAAGAGGCGGAGATAGTGATGTGTCTTTGCTTCGAGAATGCCTGCTTTCCAGCATTTAGACATCAAAACAGATGGCCCTGGTGTCTTCAGAAGGACTGCAAAAATGGCACAGGGAGAGCTGGATGCCTTTGGGGCCCCTGGCAAAGGTGCAAACACATTCTGGTGTTGAGACATGGGAGGTGTGCAAGATTCTTTGTCTGTTCTGTAATCCTCCTAGATTAAGCCAAGAACCATCGAATCCAGGATTCTGTTTCCAACAGTGGCTAGCTAGTCTAGAGCAGGCAGAGCCACCATCCTTCCCCTTGGTTTGCCCCTGACTTCTGTTGCTCTGTTCAGTTTTATGCTGCCTCCGACTGCTTTTGCCTAGTAGCAAGGGCGCAGTTGTGCACCTTAAATTTGAATTTACATGAAAACAAGAGTGCATCAGAGCAGATGCCGACTTTCCTTTTTAACCAATGCAGATCTTTCCGTTTCACCTACTCTCAGGTAGACCATAGAAGTGTGCATGCACACGAAAGCTCATACCAATAACTAACTTAGTTGGTCTCAAAGGTGCTACTGGAAGGATTTTATGTTTATTTTATTTTTATTTTTGTTTCGAACATATAATTTAGACAGGGCAGTATCTGATGCGGGGGTGGGGGGAGCCTCACAATGAAGGCCTCATCCTGTGCAGATTGTGAAACCTTTGAATTGTTTTCTTCATTCTCTGATCCTATTTTCATTCCATGAGCTGCTGACACAAACTCACAAGATATGTTTCAGGACATTCTGGCCCAGGCTTTTCCTGTCTGATATAAATAAAGAAATCAACAATTCAGAGGCTTCATTAAGAACATAAGAAGAGCCTGTGGGAAACCCACAAGCAAAACCTGAGCCCAAAAGCCTCCTCTCCTCCATTAATTTATCTAATCCCCCTTTTAAAGCCATCTAGGTGGACCTCTCTGCCTCCTGCAGGAAGGAGTTCCTTTGTTTAACAATGCACTGCGTGAAGGAGGACTTCCTTTTATCTGCCCTGAACTATGGGACCCGGGGCTGTGGCAACTGAGCCTCTTGGGCTTGCCAGTCAGAAGGTTGGCTGTTCGAATCCCCACGACGGGGTGAGCTCCCATTGCTCGGCCCCAGCTCCTGCCAACCTAGCAGATAAAAAGCACATCAGTGCAAGTAGATAAATAGCTACCGCTCTGGTGGGAAGGTAAACGGCATTTCCGTGCGCTGCTCTGGTTTTGGTGTTCCAGTGCGCCAGAAGCGGCTTAGTCATGCTGGCCACATGACCTGGAAAAACTGTCTGCAGACAAACGCTGGCTCCTTCGGCCTGTAAAACAAGATGAGCACCACAACTCCAGAGTCATCTGTGACTGGACTTAACTGTCAGGGGTCCTTTACCTTTACCTTTTTTACGGAGAGAAGGAGAAAAGTTATTCTCTATCCACTTTCTTCGGACCATGCATAATTTATAAACTTCTACCATGTTGCCTCTTACTCATGTTTTCTCCATTTGCTCCGGTCAAGCAGCTGGCTCAGAACATTAGTGCCAGACTGACGCGTGTCTGTCCAGCTCACTGAGACAGACCTCGGATGAGCATCCATTCACGTGCCCACTGGAAATCTCAGCCCCCTTCCTTGCCATTGGCTCTCTCAGACTACTTTAAGGTCAGGTCAGACTTCTGTTGCTCATCGCCAGAGGCAAAAATTCAAACCATCTCAAAGATGCATTAAGCAGCAGATCACATTTGCAAATACCGAAAATGCTATATACACAGAACACAAGTCTGGTTTATGGATAACACTAAGATATAGGTTATCCTCAGATGAACCAACAAACCGTGGCTTCAACACAAATAAACAAATATTTGCCTGCATGGCCACAACGGACTTCAGGACTTTATGGTGGGTAGGGAAGTTCCGTGTGCTGCGCTGGCTCGCCAAATGCAGCTTTGTCACGCTGGCCACGTGACCCGGAAGTGTCTCCGGACAGCGCTGGCCCCTGGCCTCTTAAGTGAGATGGGCGTACAACCCTAGAGTCTGTCAAGACTGGCCCGTACGGGCAGGGGTACCTTTACCTTTTTTAACACCCACGAGACATTGAACGGTAAAACACCAGGATAGATTTTGGAGGTATGAGACTGAAAATGCTTGTGGGAGGATGAAGACATAGAATAGAATCATAGAATCTTGGAGCAAGCACACACTCAGGAACAGTGACCCACAGAGGCATGAATCTCCCAATGTGGGCA